AAAAAGAAAGAAGAAAAAAAGAAAAAAAAAAGAAAGGAGAAAAAAATCTTAAAGAAACGTTAAAGAATTCTTTTAGTTGGAGTTCAAAATATTCTCAGCATCTCTTCTCAGCAGTTTTCGATGGGGCCAGCTGGAGTGTGACGCCCCTCCCTCTGGATTGCTGGAGTGAGAGGCAATCCTGTAGGAGGAATTCCTGGAAGCAGTTTTAGGGTTAGGTGGGCTCCAGGCTCTTTGCTGAATACCAATTGGTCTGGAGATTTTAAATCAGTGCACCTCCAGCGCCCAGTAATTGCTGATCCACGCGGGAAGACTGTGCCCCAGGGATCTCCCCTGGGTTCCACTCGTGTGGTGCTGGAGCCAATTCTTAGTCCCTTACATCACCTGCAGACCCCACGTTTCCTGATCTAGGGTTCAGTCTCCAAACAATCTCTCCCATCTCCGCCATTCCAAGTTCTCGGCCAGATGCATCTCTCCTAGCCAGTCCTGCAGGTAGCTGAGTGGGAGGGGGAGGGGTTGTGGGTTTCCACAACCAGTTGTCCCCTCTGTAAACCTCTCTCCATGTTTGATTTTCTCCTGGTCACTTAAGCACACTTTATGGTGTGCAGTGTGTATTTACTGAGCCTACAATTTTGGACCAAACTCAGGTTTGCCAGGAGTTGTCTCCCTCAGGTGCCGGCCCCCAAGCCATGGCTGCAAAACAGTTCCATCTCTCGTCCTCCGCACACTACCTGGAGAGAGGGTGGCTTCTTTCCCTCACAAAGATATTGTGCAGTGCGCCTTTCAGTTTAATCACTCAGTGTCCTTGATCTCTAGATGCTCTGTACCCAGACATGCCTCAGGTCTCCTAAAAATGGGGGTTCTTTTAATTCCCTTATCTGTTCACTTTGCTCTTGAAGGACCACTTTGGTTGGTGCTTCTGGACCAGCCATGGCAGTGGTTGTGTTGCTGGGGATTTCTTCCTTATTTTATTATATCCAACCTCCCGAGTCTCTGATCTGTTTTGAATGCACAGTTTTAAGTTCCACCCCCCATCCCTTTTGGTTACTCACCTTTCTGAGAAACTGCCTGTTTTCTTGGTTTCACTCTACAGAACGGCCAGGAAAGCGATATCCTCTCATCTRCCGTCTTGAAAAATTCCTGCAGATTAATTTAACAAGTCTGGAGTAGGTGGTCTGGTCTGGGTGTTGGTCTGGTGGCTTGGCGATGTCGTTGTCAAGGATTTACCCAATGGTAAGTTGCACCTCATAGTCTCAAGATGGCTGCCAGAGCACCAGCACCACATTCTTGCACTTGCAAGAACCTGTGAATGAAAGAAATGGGGGAAGGGTAATATGGCAGGATAAAATGGGACCATCTTTTAGACTCCATCTGGACTTGGTGGTAGACTGTGGRGACATCTTGAATGACTACCACCTGACCAGGAATTAAAATTAGAGGCCTTGGTCATGCCAACCAGAGATTAGGAGACTGGAAGGTTTGCAACCAAAGAATTCCTTAGGAAAACACTGTCTCTCTAGGTATTAGGTGTTTCAGCGACTTGGAATGGCCAGTACATTGTGTATGAGGACATCAGGCCATGGAAAAATTCTCATGTACTAGAAATATGCTGTTTTACCTGAGTGACATTCAGATGTCCTCTGGAGATTCACTGTGTTGGGAGCGGTGGAGTCCATTTGGGCTCTGGATGAGGGAGGAACATGGCTAGAGGATTATCGTCTAGTTGACCCAGGTGCCAGGGAGGACGTGATATGTGATCTGAGATTTGAATGGGAAGTTGGCCAAGAGGGCAAGAGAGGACTCCAAAGAGAGAGGCTAGGAGGGCCCAGGGTATCTGACTAATCTGGTAAACTGCATAAGGTTCATGAGACAAAAAGTGAATCAGGGGCTAGGACTGGGGTCTGTGACGAGCCAAGGGAGTTTGGTTTTCCCCTGAAACTATTGAGACACTGAAATGTTGTAACTCAATTAGATCAACAGTCTGGGGAACTGCCACGATCATGAGGCAGAAATTTCCTGGTATTCCTACCATGCCTTTCTTCTTCCTCCTGTGCACACAGCTGGACTGCATTTCTCAGCTTCTTTTACAGACAGATGAAACCACAGGACCAAGTTCTAGCCCATCAAGAATGGCTGGGAAGGGTATTTGCTCTTTCTAGGCCTTGCYCATAGCAATATTCTCTTTCCCTATGGCCTAGCAAAGATCCAAAGATCCCAGTAGTGGATCTCCAGGATGGAAGTAGCCCGACTCCCTGAGTCACCGTTTGGTGGAGGCCTGCTATGGATTGTTGTGTGAACAATGGAATCACTTTTTATTATGTTAAGGCATTAATGTTGAGGGGGATATTTGTTATAGCAGTTAGTTTAGCCTAATATGAACCATAACAATGGCTACTGTTTATTGGGTTCTTGTTCTGAATTTGTTGGGGTCTGTACTAAATGCATTTTCTCATTTCAGCCACAAACAGACCTCTGCATTGTTAGTCCACCTTTATAGMAGAGGAAATTGAGACTGACAGAACAGATAGCAAGTGAAGGGCAGAGCATTCTGATCCCCCCAGTCTGGACTGTTAAGTTGTACCCTGCTGGCTTTCAGTATGAAACAGATAAATGAAAATTGGGTGAGACACGGAGACCAGCTGAGGAGTTATAATGATGCTTGCAGGGAGCTCCTAGTTGTGAGATGAGGAAGCTGGCAGGTTACTGTAGATATTGATCGAGAGGATGAACTGAGGAGTCCAGTGCAGGCGTGTGATGAATGTTAATTCGGTTTTCAGAGCAAGAAGTGACAAAGGCCTGGGTGAAAACAGGAGAGGATTGTTCTGGAAGCCCCAGTGGAAGGGCCTGGGCAAAGGATGCAGGAGACGGGGGTGTGGAAGGAAGCCTGAGAACCTTTCGTACAGTGTCTGTGGGCTGGGCGGAGGGAGAGAACAGACTCAAGATATCTGTAAGACAGCAGGTCCTGAAATTTGTAGGATGCACAGATGTTCAAGGGAGGCCCTGAGCCCTGGGGTTCCTGGCTGACAAGGGGGCCAACAGACTGTCAAACCCTTGTCCACTTCTGTCCCGAAGCAGATACTTTGAATCCACACAACCATGGACGAATTCTTTAGCTTCTTTGTGTTGCATTTTTATCATCTGAAGATGGGGATAATGAGTAACGGACATATCTCCTAGGACATGGTGAATGGAGGCAGCCGGCTTAGCATGGGTTTCCTACGTAGTGAGCCATCCATGATGGAAACAATTATCATAAAATTCCCTTACGCTAACCTCATTTCTCCAACTCTCTCTCATCCGCACACTCAGACAATAGCTATGAACACAAAGCGAAATCTTTGCCTTTCTTGTTTATGGCTTCATTTCCAGCCAACTTGGAAGAGCGACAATTTAGGTATTTATTGGATAAATGGGTAAGGAAACACATATCACGTTGTTTTCTCTCTCCCTCTCCCCATCCATCATCCATCATCCATCATCCATCCATCCATCCATCCATCCATCCAAGGTAATGGAATCTAGAGGCTTAGCCTACAAAGTAGTTTTTCTTTCCAACAGAGGCAAACTATGCACAACATAAAATTTACCTTCATAACCATTTCCAAGTGTACAGCTTAGAGACATTAAGTTCATTCACAGAGCTTTGCAGCCATCTCTATCATCCAACTCCAAAATACTTTTATCTTCCCAGACAGAAACTCAGTACCCGTTAGACATGAACACCCCATACTCTCTCCCCTCCAGGACCTGGGAACCATCATTCCACTCTTTGTACCTATAAAGTGACTATTCTAGGTGCCTTATAAAAGTTGAATCACAATGTCCTTTTATGACGGCCCATAAGTTAACAATCATAAAAGATTGTAAAATGAGAAATTCATTTTACCCCTACCTTATGGACTTGTTGTGAGGTTAAAATGAGGTCATGCCTTCAGGTCYTTAACTCAGCATTTAGCACATAGAAAGTACTCCATAAATAGTAATGATACCTAACTACGGATTTTAAATTAATGGATACTGGTATTTTGATATCATTTTTATTAGTATATTCTCAATGGATGAATGAATATGGGTATTGTGCTTATCATGGGTCTGGCACTGTCCTGAGCAGTTATCAGACACTAACTTGTTTGAACCTCATCAGGACTCTACAATATTGGTTATCTCTCTCTATTATCCAGAGATTTAAAAATGAAGGTACAGAGAGGTTAAGCAACATGCTCAAGGTTACAGAGGAGTTCCTGCAGAGCTGGGATTTAAATCCAGGCCRTGTGGGCTGGGCTGGGGCTCAGTGGAGTGTGTGCCCACGGGCACGGGCACGAGGCCTTGGGTTCAACCCCAGCACCTCAGGGGGAAACAGAACACAGCAGAAAGGTCCAGGCTGCCTGTTTTCAAAGTCCACGTGTTTTACCACTGCACTACAGTGCCACCTGTCTCCACTGCCTCGTTTATACACTCGGTGTGGGATCAGGCTGTGAGGGGAGCRCAGGGGTCCAGGCCTCAGGTAGAAGATGTCCATGCGAATCGTGGAAAAATGATTGAAGGGGAGTCTGTCACTTAGCAAGTGCGGCTCCCCATCTGTGGGGCCTCTTCTCGCTATTTACATAAGCTTGTTGCCTTTGGAGGCGGGGGACTGGGTGCTGGGCCCCTCCATCTATCTCCTACAGAGCAGGGCCTGGAGCCAGAGCCTCCGATGATGCAAGCAGGCCAGCACCCGGCGCTCAGCACCTTTGCCCTGCTTGGCAGGAAGCCTAGCAATCCTTGACCCCCCACCCCGCCCCGTCCTGGGGAGATAAAAAAAAGTTTCCTCTCTGGGCCTCAGGGCCACCTCCCGCCCAGGCTTTATTGCTCTTTTGACACCTTCAGTGAGCTTCTGCCACCCTTTAAAAGAGGCAGAGCCTGTAGCGGGATCAGAGGACCTGGTCCCCAAGCTAAGCGTGTGGGGACAGCAGTTACGGCTTCCAGCAGCTCTGGCACGGCCCAGGCCCTGGGCTGTTTCTCACTGATGTCTGGAGAGGTGAGCGCAGGCCACATCTTCTGCCCCAGCCCGGCGGGTGAGGGGGGGCTGAGAGGGCATTCCAGGTTGGGGGCAGAGGCCTCTGGCTGTCCTCCCACCCGTACCTCCTCTCCCCTCTCCCCTATGGCAGGCACCTATGTGTGACACTGAGCTTGGTGGTGGCAAGGTTAAGCAGCTGAGCATGAGCGTCAGGTGTCGCACGTCCTGGTTCGAGCGGTTTGTGCAGCCCTGCCTGGTGGAGCTGCTGGGCTCTGCCCTCTTCATCTTCATCGGGTGCCTGTCGGTCATCGAGAATGGGCCAGACACCGGGCGGCTGCAGCCGGCCCTGGCCCACGGGCTGGCCTTGGGGCTCATCATCGCTATACTGGGGAACATCAGGTGAGACCAAGGCTGAGCCTTCAGCTTGGGGCTGACTTGGGGAGCTGGGGGTAAGGTGGGGAGCAAAGCTCTTGGCAGGGACCCTTGGGGGTGTGGCACACGCTCAGGGTGCTGCGGAACGTGTAGGCCGGAGGTCAGACCACCTGGCCCATCTTGGCTGTGCAGACCACAAACCCCGTGGCTTCAGGCAAGTCTCTGAAACCAAAGTTCCCCACCTATCAAATGGGAATAATATACTTTTAAAATGATTTTTCAAGCCAACATTATATATGGCTAACCATGTACTGGCACTATCCTAAGCACTTTGCAGATACTGATCATTTAATCCTCATGGTGACCTTGTGGGACAGGTCCCCCATTTTACATCTGGGCAAGAGAAAGGCCCCGTAACCTGTCCAAGGCTGCAGGGCTGGAAAGCGGTGCAGCCAGGAGTCGAGGCTAAGCTGTCCAGCTCCAGCGCCCAAACCCACAGGCCTCCTGAGGGGAACATGAGGGGCTTGTCATACCTGGGGCTGTGTCAACCCTGATTGCTGTGTCACTGTTACTATTAGGAGGTGGGCTAGTACTGGGGTACACAGGTGCCTGCGGGGGTCCTGGGGGGAGGGCAGGGAGCAGGGAGGTGGCCCGTTGCCTAGTTCTCATCTGGATGGGGCTCCCTGGGGAGGGCTGAGGGTGGGGCGTTCCCTGGGGAGTCATCTGTAGTGACAGCTGTCTCCCAAAGGACACCTGGCAGGGTGATTTGGGACAGGTTGGTCTGTATTTAATTTCATTCAAGATATAGATCTGAGTGAGGAAATTGAAATATAGTTTCTGGGGAGACCAGAAAGGAAAGAGAAATTTAATACCTTTGTAAATGTCCGTGGGAAGCTGAAGGTGGAAGAGCACCTGATCTCTCAGTAGGTACACCTGGGGTTGAATAGAAGAACTTCTGTCACTTCTTAGCTGGGTGACCAGGGCCAGTCACTAACTTCTCTGTGTGCAGCGCTGTACGTGTGGATAATCATTACAGCTGATGTTCATTGAGCACCAACTCCATAGACAGTGCAGGGTGCTAGACACATGTGAATTCATTATGTCTTTGCAACAGCCTTATCAGGGAGAGATTATCGAGGCACTGAGAGGTTATGTAACTTGCTCAAGGCCACACAGCTCTTCAGCAGAGCTAGGGAGTGAACCCAGGCCAGGCCAGCTGGGAACATCTCTCAGGCCCTGCAGCAGATCATATTTGTAGTACTGACCTTTTATTCAATCACTGGTGTTTTTCAAAGAATATTTATTCAGCCGTTCCTGTGGACCAGGTACGGACTTTGAGGTTGTTGACCGGAGCCAAGATAAGGTGTGTAAAGCAGCCGGCACGGTACTTGTCATGTAGTGAGTGTTCAATAAATATTTGCCAAGTGAGCAATGACTGAAGGAACTAAGAAAGTGTCTTGCTTAGTTCACAGTCAAGGAGTATAAACTTGGTCCAGGGAGCACGTGTGGCCCTCAGGTGCCCAGGCCTGTCCCGATGGAGCCTTGCTCTCTGTGACAGCTTCTCTTCCGGCCATTTGGACCAGCTGCCAAGATAGAAGGGGAGCTGATGGCCTGGGAGGGGTCTGACTCTTTCACCCCCATCTGACTCAAGCCAAGTGGGCCAGGGGGGCCCCTCTTCCCARCTTACATCTGAGCATCTGCTGGTGCTTCTGCATTGGAAGCTCCTGGGGGCCTGGGGGTCAGGCTGGGCCACACTGGGGAGATACRTTGGGGGCAGCTGGTGTTGAGGCACCAGGGTGCTGGACAGAGTCCTTTTGTCCAGAGCCAATGTCCTTGTCCAGCCTCAGCTCAATGCCCTGGGTCCACTGGGGAGTAGGCAGGCCTGCTGGTGGCTCTTAATATTTGAGGGACACTTTGACTCTTGTGTGACATGGGTGGGGTCTTGGGGCCACTTTCCCTCTTAGGGGAGGTTCCATTCCTGGGGACCTGAGGGATTTAATGGGTCAAACTCTGGGATTAGTTCCTTCTTAGAGTGGGCAGTCAACCAGACTTGCCCTTTGACCCTGACTTGTCCATCTCTCACCCACATCCCAAACTCCCTGTTCCTAACCTGATTGTAAACCTCTAACCCCTCCCCAATCCTCAGTGCCATTTCCAGCCTGAACTAATCTTGATTTTATACTCATTACACTGCAGACCAAACCTAAGGTTTATCTTGGCTGAACAGGTCAACCATGTGCTCTTATTCAGGCCCTGGCCACTTACAAGGGGAAGCCAGGGTCCCTCTCTTGGGCTGTTGATTTGGAGTCGCCTCTCAGTCTGACCTGTGGCCACGTGTTGGAATGGCCCTGATGGAGCCTAGGAATCCCTACATGTTCTTCCTCTAGGCCCTCCTGGGGCTGGCTGAGGGGCAGCTCCTCCCYTCCCACCTCTCCTGACCCCTCTCCCTAGCATCTGGCACCTCAGGGAAAGGGAAGAGATTTGGGGTACTTGTCTTTGGGTCAGGGCCTGGACTGACTCTGGCCCTGGGAAGCCAGCCTGAGGGACTGGCAGGGACATATCTCCCCGGTGGCAGCCTGTGGTCAGCCCTGGACCTTGGTCTCATGATTTCTTCTGCTTTTGTGGTGTACAGTGGTGGACACTTCAACCCTGCGGTGTCGCTGGCGGCCATGCTGATTGGAGGCCTCAACGTGATCATGCTTCTTCCCTACTGGCTATCTCAGCTGTGTGGGGGGCTGATTGGGGCCGCCTTGGCCAAGGTAGGTGATGCCCAAGGGGGCTGGGCTGGCTGGGATGACTCCTGTGGGGCTGCTGGAGGGGTGCAGGGGTGAGGGAGTTTGGAAATGTCCAATTCTCTGTTTATGTCTGTCAGTGGAATTGAGTGGCCCTTTTCTTCTGGAGCAGGGGASACTCCATGGACCTTTGGCTCCCTCTAAACCTACCCTCTTCCATTCATATGTGGTCACAGCTCTTCCCTGGACAGATCAGGAAGCAAATTCATGGCTTGACATTTCTCTTTCTGAGCCTATTTCTGGCTTTGGAATGGATTTGGATGGTTCTAGTGGTTTTTAAATCCATTCACTTCTCAATTCTATACATTTCTCACAAAGCTCTGGATGAGGACATAGGATAAATATGGTTATCTTCCTGGAGAAATTCCTGAGTGAATGCCTCTGTGTTCTTCAGGAATCAATACTCAATTTATGTTTAAAACTCTCCCATCCAGCTGGGTGCCTGCCTGAAATCCCAGCAACTGGAGAGGCTGAGGCAGGAGGATCCCAAGGTGAGGTTAGCTTTAGCAACTTAGTGAGACTCTATGCAACTTAGTGAGAACCTGTCTCAAAATAAGAAAATAAAAMGGGCTGGGGATGGAGCTCTCTGATTAAACAACCGTAGGTTTAATTCCTGGTACCAAAAATAAATAAATAATAAAAAATCCTCCCATTCAATCAATCTAGCTTTTCCTTTTCTTTCGTGCTGGGGATGGAGTTCGGGGGCTTGGGCATGCCACGCAAGTGTGCTACCAATGAGCCACCCTATAGCCTGAACCCCAGGACTTGTACAGCTCTACACAGAGCTCCGGGGTGGGCTCCTCTCCTCTCCCTTCTTTTGCCCATGAGTCTGTTCAGCCAGAGGGTCTTAAAGGTGTGGACTTGCGTGGTGTGTGTGTGGGTGTGCTGGGGAGGATGGGAGACCTTTTAGCGTAGCCCAGTCCAGACTTTGGGTTCGAGTCCCGTGTTTTGCTCTCTTCCCCTGCCCTGGCCTCTGCCTGCCTCCACAGGAGGCGGCGGCCATTTCTCTGTCTAGAGAGGGCATTCTGGGCCTCCCTGCTCCCAGGGTGGGCAGGCCTGCATCTAGCCCCCTCTGCTTGGCTCCCAGCTTCTCTTCGACCCCCTGTGAGACTGAGTGGCTTCTCTCCACAGGTGGTGAGTCCTGAGGAGAGGTTCTGGAATGCCTCTGGGGCCGCCTTTGTGACAGTCCAGGAGCAGGGGCAGGTGGGGGCGGCGCTGGGGGCGGAGATCATCCTGACAGCACTGCTGGCACTGGCCGTGTGCATGGGCGCCATCAATGAGAAGACGCGAGGCTCTCTGGCCCCATTCTGCATTGGCTTCTCTGTCACCGTGGATATCCTGGCAGGGTGAGTGTCCCTCAGCACAGACACCACCATGCCCAGACTGGGCRGTGCCTCAGGGGATCGATCAGGCCTGAGGGTCACTCATTAATTGCCAGTAGGGACTACTAGGAAGGTGCGGCAGATGGGGACAATGGGTTGGCTTTGGGCAGCAATAGGGAGTGGTGTGGACTGTGGTAACTAGGAGGCTCTGGGACAAGGTGATCTGGGGTGACCCTTCCAGTTGCATTCAAGGAAAGTCAGAAAAAAGTTCTCTAATGTTTTGTATGGTGAATAACATCCCTGTAGGCTGCAGTCTCAGGCACATAAGGAGYGTCCACACCCACGTCTCTATTTTGGGCCTTTTAGAAATTATGGGAAGGCATTAAGAGACAAAGCTGGGCCAGAGATTACTCCCATTTTAAAGATGAGGCAAACTGAGGTTCAGTGAGGACAGAAGTGACTTATTTAGTGTCATTGGGCAATGGCAAGTCAAGTGACAGATCGAGAACAAGAGCTCACATCTGCTGAAGGGGTTAGGTTCCTTCCTAACCTCCAACTTCTTCCTTTCTTTTGGACACAGAACCAACTCTAGCCTTTCTCCAGGTAGGGCTAACTGGGATGGTGTGTGTTGAGCAGTGGCGGTACTTTGCTGCCCCCTTGTGGCACTCACTTCACTTGCAAGCTTATTGGATCTTGACCTTGGCTACTGGGCACAGGAGGGATGAGGGCTTCAGAATCCCAGCCTGAGTGCCTAGGGTAAAGCTGCASACAGCAGAGCTAGAGAGATGCTCCTGGGGCGTGGTCCCCCAGGATTCTGGGCCCCAGGTGTGGGTGCAAAGGGCCTCAGCTCGGCCAGCTGGATTACAGTCCCCACTGGCACAAGGCTGCTGAGGCACGGGCTCTGTGGGCATTTCCTTACTTACTCCTGCAGACCACCTTTGGAGGGTCCTTCCACTTCACTGGAGACACACAGAGTTCTCCATCCAGCTGGGCTGAGAGCACAGAGAGGTTAAACCGAGGTCACAGCTAGACCTAGCAGGTCCAGGGCAGCGTGACTCCAAACAGATTGACAACAGTCTGGCTTTGCTTTATGGACTTGGAGAGGAATTTGATCTGTTTTTATTTCCTGCAGTAGGAATTCTTTGCCAGTCACTCTTCTAGAAGAGTGAGTGGGGAGTGGCAGGCTGTATGTCCAGATAGGAGCCAYGTCTTGGGCTTCTTAGAGCGAACAGTCCTCTGCTTTCCCTGGGATCTGCCTGGGAGCTCCTGATATGGGAGGTTAGAAAGATTTCTGGGTGAGCTGTTATTTGGGCCTATCTGGGGATCTGAGGAGAGTGGGCCTGGCTGGGGCTCTGGTGACGTGTGGCTATGTTTGTAGGGGTGCTATCTCTGGAGCCTGCATGAACCCGGCTCGTGCCTTTGGACCTGCTGTGATGGCCAACCACTGGAGCTTCCACTGGATCTACTGGCTGGGCCCACTCCTGGGTGGCCTGCTCGTAGGACTGCTCATTAGGTAGGAGTGGGGCCCAGGGCCAGGGCCTGTCCAATGGGCCCCTTGGGGACAGTTCCCAGAGAACCCAAGGCTAGAGGACTGGACTCTCTCACTTGGGCTTAGAGAAGGAAAGATGGAACCTTCTTCAGAGAAAAAGAACCTGTATTCACCCAGGACCTTTAGTTGCAAGTCACAGAAATCCATTCCCTAAGAGGGGATCCATTGGTTGTCATGATTGAGAAGTCAGAGCTGGAGCTGGCTTCAGTGGTGCTCAGACAGAGTCCTTAGGATCTGGGCTTTCTCATGGGCTCCACTTTGCTCTGTGTGGCTTTGCTGAGACAGGCTCTCCAATGAAGGCACAGCTGCCCACAGACCACTYGGCCTTTATGTTCTAGCAGCTTGACCACTCCAGAGGAGGAGGACAGCTCTAGCTAAAACCCTGTGATGGTCACTGGTGTGGTCTGTCCAGCATGGTGTCCACCCCTTAATCAAACACTGCAGCCAAGAGGATTGCAACTCTTGGTGATTATGTCTGCAGGCTGAGCTGGGTGTGCCCTGGAGTGGGGCAGAGCCTGATTACCTGACCACCTGCTAGTAGGGCCAAGAGTAGGGGAGCAGCAGTTCCCCATGGGGCTGTTGTACAACCTCAGAGGGGCCCCTCCATGTAAGTGGTGTCCCCAAGGGCATTATGCCAGGAGATGCCATTCACATAAAATACAGTGTGGACAGTGCTCCCCGGAATTGTGCAATGGTTAATAAAGTTGATATTGTCAGAAGGATAAGTGGACTCCAGGCAGAAAGAGCTAGAGTCCCCTTCCATCCTGCTTGATCTCTCCTTCTCTCTGTATATATATATATATATTTGCTGATATACCTTTATTTATTTATATGGGGTACTGAGAATCAAACCCAGTGCCTCACACATGCCAGGCAAGTGCACTACCACTAAGTCCCAGCCCCAGCCTTTGGCTCTCTTCTTACATCCTGTTCCTTCTGCTCTGGATGGCACTGTCTGGGAGGGCACAGGCATGGGCTGGGCTGATGCTCACACCATTGCTTTCGGCAGCCCAGAGACCTCAAGACCCTCCTGTGGCTCAAGTGGAAAGCATCATTTGCCCTTCTCTTCTGATGCTTTCAGAATGGTGGCAGTGAGCACCTCCAGTGTGTCCCTGTCCCCAAGGGGTTACTGCTAAGGCTGGAGAGGCTCAGGAAGAGATCCTGCAATTCTGGGCTGGAGACATGGTGAAAGGTCTTTCCTCCAAGGGCTCAGAGAGCTCATGGTACCATCTTTCTCTCTGTAGGCTCCTCATTGGAGATGGGAAAACCCGCTTAATCCTAAAGGGACGATGAAGCAGAACTGCTAGAACTGCTGCCCCTATGCCTTCAGCTGCCCCATTCTGGGCTAAGGACAAGACAGTTTCTGCACTTCCTTCCAGGGCAGAGGACCAGATGAGCAAATGACCTGCTGCTAATGACTTGGGTCTGCTTCTCAGACAGACAGACAAACTACCACAAAGGCCCAAGGATGCTCTATGTTTTGGAATTGCTTGTGGCCATCTGAGGCCTCAGCCTAGGGAAGGCGTTGCCAGCACTTCCCAGGGATGAAAAGAGCACAATGTTTTTCTTGAGAGGGCAAGTTCCAGGAGCAGGAGAGCAGTTAAGTGGCTGTTTATGTACATCAGCTCATTTCCCCGCCTTTTCCTTCCTGTCTGCCTTCCTCCATCTCTCCTTCCTTCCTTCACATTATTATTATTAGTTTTTCAGTGTTAAGATAGAATCCAGGGTCTCTCACATGCTAGGCAAGTGCTCCAGGCCACACTCTCAGCCCTTCACACCCCCTTTCTCTTTCCTGGATTGTCCCTTGATTCCTCTGTTACAGAAGGGCCTTCTGGAGCCCGACCACTTCCTTGCTTCCCAAGCTGCTAATCTAACTTTGCAATAAAAAGTCTAGTCTTTTCTTCCCTGTGTCCACTGGCTTGCCTTTTATTGGAGAAGTGGGTACTGCTGAGGATGAAGTAAACTTTCAAAGTGGGGTGCTGACTGTCCAGTCTGGCTAAGTCCAGCAGAGCCCAGCTTCCAGTGCCAGTGCAGGTAYTTGGGAATGCCCGCCTCACTTAGCCAGACCCATCTGGGTGCTCAGAGCCCACCTGGACCTTAATCAGACTCAACTCCAAAGCAGCTCCCTCAGGACCCTGCTGGAAGACCAATGCAGAGTCCAAGACTTGGTTGAAGGCCCAGTGCTGCTGGGACACAGATCAATCCTGTCACTGCATGCCAGCTGGGTTGGGGGGGGGATGGGGTGGGGCAGAGATGCAAGAGTTTCCTGGGGAAGCAGAATCCTGAGCAAGTGCCTGAGCACGGGCCTGGAGAGACGGTATTTGAATGGGAGACACGAATAGAAAGCATAAGAAGGGAGAGAAACACAACCTGAGCTTCATGCCTTTCAAGTGCAGGGTGTATCTTCTCTTAAGAACCCATGGGTCGGGCTGGGGCTCAGGGGTAGAGCACTTGCCTAGCATGTGTGAGGCACTGGGTTCAATTCTCAGCACTGCATATAAGTAAAATAAAATAAAGATCCATCATCAACAACAACAACAACAAAAATAAAAGAATAAAAGAATCTATGTGTCAAAAGGAGGAAAAGCATGTTATGAAAATAGAAGGGAGACCAGCAGAGTAGAGGGAGGGGATATCAGGGAGAAAGGAGGATAGGAAAGGGGAGGTGCAGGGGAATGAAATTGACCAAATCATGTGCTTGTATGGTAAGTCACACTTAATCCCACTATTATGTAATTATAATGCATCAATAAAAAGAAATGAGTCATTTATGAAAGTTAATCATTATGACACCATAAAGAAGTGTCAGGGAAAATCATCAACAATAAAACATTCACCCAATTCTAAAAAAAGATGAGCAAAATATTCACTGGAGTAGAAGTGAAGAAYTGGTCACTGGGAAAACCTGCCTAATCCTATAGGGACTGTGAAGCAGAGCTGGTAGAGTTGCTGGTGCTGCTGTGTCCTATAACAGACATCAATTAGAATGTGCAGAGAGACATCACACACGGATGTTATATGATCTAGGTACCTCCCCTCCCTCCCAAAATTTCTGAGAGGAAGAATAACAGAAGAATAACAACCATGAAAGATAGAGAAAGGCAGTAAATAATTTGAGAATGTTAGTAATGAGCAAATTTAAAAGACTTAGTAAGAAATGTCACTATTTCATTCACCTAAACAATGAAAGAAACCTTTGACTAATGTAGTAAATAATAAGTCAGTGATATGTACATGCAGTCACCCACACACACGATGCTCCTCTCCAGGACTCTCTGAGCATTTGCTGTGTATCAGGGCCTGCACCGAGTGCTTGACTTGTATAGTGTCCTTCACTCCCCGCCACAGTCCTATGAGGCAGTGCAGGGGGCTGAATGGTGTCCTTGCAATTCATGTCCATGCTAACCTCAGACTGTGACCTCTCCTGGTAATGGGGTCTTTGTAGATAAAACTAAGGTAAACATCAAGATGCAATCATACTAGATTAGGATGGCCTAAGTCCAACAATAGTGTCCTTATGAGACACAGAAAATGGCACACACAGACACTGTGTACAGTGAAGTCCACATGAAAGTGGAGGCAGAGATGGTGTGATACCGTCAGGAGACCTCATCAAGAAGTCACTAGGAGCTGTAAGAAGCAAGGAAGATTTTTTCTCTGGAGCCTTTGGAGGGAGCATGTCCCTGCTGACACCTCAATTTCCAACTTCTGGTCTCCAGAACTATGAGAGAATATATTTCTGTCCTTTTAAGGCATCAAGTTTGTGGCAATTTGTTACAGCAACCACAGGAAATGAATACAAAAAAATACTTTTTTTTTTGTATTTGYATTTGGTATTTGTATTTGGTAACTGTAGTCAGGTAGGGTATGGCTTCATAAATTAAGTGTGTGGGGTCTTTGGGTTTATTTTTTTATCCCTGGCAAGCACAGCTCGCTCTCTCTGCTTTCTGTTTGCCATGCCCTTCTGCCATCATGCTCTGCCYCACTTCAAGCCCAGAGCTATCGAACTGGCCACTCATGGGCTGAATCTCTGAAACCAGGAGCCAAAAACCCCCATGTCTTCCTCTCCGTTGCTTGTCAGGTCTTCCATCACAGGGATGCAAAGTGACTAAAATATCCAGTGACACCTAAATTCACTCACCCCACAGAGTAGAAACCAAAATTGATCCATATCACCTAAGTTCACTTCCACCTCATTTCCCCTTTTCTCAACAATAAGGAAGTCACAGAATTTTAGGATGTTAGAACTAGAAATACCATTATAGTAACGAATATGGTGGCTATGATGTTTGAATCCTGATCAAGGTCTAAATTTAATCTCAGAATTGTAACTTTTTTTTTTTTTTTTTTTTTTTTTTGCTGCATGTGCTTGAAGAACTTACTTCTCTCAGCCTCAGCTTTTCACTTCTAAAATGAAAATACTGTCTCAGAATGCTTGTAGGAGTTAACCCCATGAAAGCTTTGGCACCATGCCTAGTATGCAGTAAATGCACAGTGTGATAGCAGTATTATTATTATCATCTAACTAAAGACTTTACAATTTCCAAGTATCAGAATCATGGTAAAGAAGTCTATGAGTTAGAAACACCTTGTCTGGAATTTACCTCATGTTCAGGTGAACTGGCTCTCTGAGCCCACCCAGTGGTCCTCTCTCCAGTTTTCTTCCCTAGCTGAGCTGGAGGCACACCCTTAGCATATGGAGAAATCTCTTCAGAGACTCCATGGTCCTTGGGGTTGGGACCATTATGGTAAGGGCTGAGTGAAAGCCACTGGAACTCTTCCTTTTATGCCAAAACAGTGACAAAAGGAACACTGTGGTGACCATACTGCAYCAAAATAGTTCCCCTTTTGGCATAAGGATATTTTCAGCTCAAAGCACTTGAAAAACAGCAGGCAGAAGAGGGACGTCCTGACTCCTCCTCTTTCTGAAAGCAGGAGATACAGCCTCCAAGTGAAAGATATCCTCTCCACTCCAGGAGGAAACATTCTTATCACCAGAGATGGAGAGTTGAGCCAAGAGAATTCTGTACAGATCTTGTTAAAATAACTTTTAAAAAATTTTCTTTTAGTTGTAAATGGATACAATTAATTTTTTATGTGGTGCTGAGGATCAAACCCAGTGCCTTGTACATGCAAGGCAAGCACTCTGTCACTGAGCCACAATCCCAGCTCTAAAATAACTCTTTTTGTCCTCTGGGCTTCCCAGGTATTCTAGCTCCTCCCCCACTGCCTCTCTGCTCAATCTGGCACAGAATGGCTTGTGTTGTGCTACTTCCCAGGTCTCTGTTTCTCGTGGAGACTCCCAGATACATAGACACATCTGTGGGCTTTTCTGCCATTAGTTTGGTTTATGTTAATTTCATCCTCAGGTCCAGCCACAGGAGTACAGACGTAAACTTTGCCTCCCCTATGACTGTATCTTGGGGGAAACTGTCACGATTTCTTCCACACTGGGCTGGGGATGTGTGCCGCCTCAGAAACACATGCAGTATGCCCAGCCAGTGCCAACTCCACCCTAGTGTTAGAGCCAAACACTATTTGGGACAATGGCAGTGACAGTTACCAGAGGACTGCTGTGTGGGATAGCTGTGGACTCACAAAAGATCCCTTCCTGTTAGTYATGGGGGACAGACATGAACTGGAATAAAACTGAAATTACCCCCCCTTTTAATTATCTATAAAATGAGCTTATAACTTCCTATATTTTCTTTTCCCAAATAGAAAAAGATCCTTCAAATTATGGCAGGAATCAAAGGGAGCCATTTATTGTAGCATTTATTTCACATATAAGTTTTCAAGACATCTAAGTGAACATTAATACAAAACAACAGACAGACATACATTTATACTTGGTCTTGGAACACATTCAGGCAGAGGCGAGGCTTACAGTTACACACGTGACCCAGACACTCCTTCCACTTGGGGCTTCCCCAGGCCCTCCTCATTGGTTTCCTCTGTCCCTGGGCACCAGATCTCACAAAACTGACTTTCTTCACCTGAGCTACCTGCSGGTGGCTATCAGGGTGCCTGGGGGCTGCCTGCCATTGGACCCGAGTGACGTTCCTTCCTTCTTATCTAGCAAGCTCTTTTGCTGTCACAACACCCCTTCCCTGAAGAGGAAGTAGATTCAGCATGGCCCGAGGCTCCCTGCAGTGGGGAGCCAGGCGGGGGGCCTGGCCTGATGCCCTCTTCCATATCTCTACCACACGCCACCCAGCCTCACCAACACAAGGGCCTGAGCAGTCTTGGCAACTGAGTTAAGCTTCTCGAGCAGARAGAGGCTGTGATTTGTC